ATACACACACACACACACCCCCCCCCCTATCCAGGACAGTGTGCTTACAGTGAAGCACCAACACACCGCCCCCTAGTAACACACTCCATGCACAGTTAACCCTTTGATCGCCCCTCATGTTAACCGCTTCCTACCCAGCCCCATTAGAACAGTGTCAGTGCTTTTTGTTTTTTTTTTTTTTTTTACCTTTACCTTTAAACACTGATCGCTGTATTGGTTGCATTACTAGTAGGAAAAAACCCCCAAAAATTCCAGTATCTATACCGCCATTTGTAAACGCTATAAATTTCACGTAAACCAATTAATTTACATGTGAGATTTGTTTTTTAGCAAAAACATATCGCAGAATACATTTTGGCCTACATTTTTATTTTTTTTTACATTTTTTTTTTTACTGGAAATGTTTAACCATTTGCTGCCCACCCTATGGCCAAATGGCGGCCGGCAAATGTCATCAGCGTTCTGGGTGGACGCCATATGGCGTCATCCCGCACATGCGCAGATTGCGCTCCTGCAGAGTCGCGCAGCGGCGTGATCTGTCACCGGCCGTGTACCTCGGACACATCCGATGACAGATCTGAGTATCGGCCCCCGTTGCCGGTACCATGTGACCTGCTGTGACCAATCACAGCAGGTCACATGACCGTTGTATACAATGGATGGCTTCATTCATGCCATCCATTGTATACTAGTGTCTAGCTGTGAATGGTCACAGCTAATCACATGCACATGTCATGTGATTAGCTGTGGCCAAATCACAGCTAAGCACAAAAAAAAACCCTGAATGAATCGATGTCATTCAGGTAAATGCTTGCTTATAGCAAAGTAATTCTTTGCTATAAGAAAATTGTGTAAAGAAAAAAAAAAAAATAGTGATCACTTCCCCAAAGTAGTACAATGTTACTATGGTAACATTGTACTACTTTGGTCATAGTGAAATATCAAAAAAAAAAAATCTTAAAAAAAAAAAAAAATTTTTTTTTTTTCATACTGTCACCAGTCAGTGTCCCTGATCACTGCCATGCCAGTTATATGACGCTGTACTGCACTGGTGACAGTATGTAAAAAAAAAAAAAAAAATAGTGAAACTAATTTTTTTTATTTTTTCATTTTCCGAAAAATTATGACAAAAATACATCAAACTCGCCATGCCTCTTATGAAGTACGTCAGACTGTCTACTCTGCAAAAAGGGGTCATTTGGGGGATATCTGTACTGTTCTGACATTCTTGGACCTCAAGAAATTAGATTGGCTGTCAGTACTTCAGGATTGATCAATATTCAGATCTATACCATAGTTTGTGAACTCTATAACTTTCCTACAAACTAAAAAATACATCCTAATTTGGGTTATTTTCACCAAAGACATGTAGCAGAATACATCTCGGCCTAAATTTATGAAGAACAATTATTTATTTGCAAACTTTTATAACAGAAAAAGAAAAACGTGTTTTTTTTTTTTTTTCCAAAATTTTTGGTCTTTTTTTGTTTAGCAAAAAATGAAAACCCCAGCGGTGATTAAATACCACCAAAAGAAAGCTCTAGTTGTGTGAAGAAAATGATCAAATTTTAGTTTGGGTACAATGTTGTATGACCGCGCAATTGTCATTCAAAGTGTGAGAGCGCTGAAACCTGAAAACTGGCCTGGGCAGGAAGGTGTAAAATTGCCCGGTATTGAATTGGTTAATAGCAAAATGTCAAAAATACTGTTTTTTTTTTTTTTTTTTTTCCTCCAATTATCAGGGTTTTTTTTATAGCGCATCAAATACCACCGAAAGAAAGCTCAATTTGTGGGGGAAAAAAAGACGTAAATTTCATTTGGGTGCAGCACTGCTTGACCGCACAATTGTCGTTAAAGTAATGCAGCGCCGTAACACAAAAAATGGCCGAGTCAGGCAGGGAGGGAAATCCTCTGGAGGGCAAATGGTTAAACAATCATTCCTGGAGTTGGGAATAAAAAGTACCAGTGAGATCTGATTTTAGTTTAGCATTAACAGGCAGACTTGCTGAGAGCAACTCACCACTGGAATTCTCATGTGATGGAAGCGTGGCCAATAAACAGGAAGAACACTCTGTGGGCACTTTATTGGTGATGTTGTATGGTGGTTGATGATCCCCACCTACTGGAGAGAAGTAGTATGGCATCAGTCTGCACCGCATCTAATCCGATATAAAGATGTTCACTTGTGAAAGGTGCAGAAGAGTTACATTTCCATATATGAAAATATATAGTGTGTATTTTTTTTTTTTTTTTTAAAGTGTCTGAAAACTCGAGATTGAAAATGATGCATTGCATGTCATGTTCCTTTAAAAAAAAAAAATGCAAATTATAACTTTTGTTTGCATTGCAATCAAATATGGTGCCAGTAACTGAATGGGTCTATTACCCTGAAAATATCTAAGCATTGCCAGCATCCTCTGTGCTTCCATAGTAAGGCTATGACTGTAAGTGCCTTCCTAAATAGAGCCAGCCCCTACTGCCTGTATCAGTGCAACATCTGCCTATCTGCAAACTCTGCTGCCGGACTGACAGCAGCTCCCACCTATAGAAGTGAAAGCTGCATCTGATTACATCAATGGGAAATGAGAAACTGCACACGTTCTTCCTCTAAAAAAGTAAAAAGAAACATAGAGCAGGCTTGACCAACCTGTTCTGTATACACATTGTCCCATTTAAAGTGTTCCTAAACCCACAACAGTAAAATCAGTCTGTATATGCAGTAAAGCATGTTTGTTCTACTCACTGCGGATCCTAAGGGGTTAATCTCTGCATTGTGTAAAAAAGGCGGTTTGATCCTTTCTTCTCTGTTCCTCCCCATTTTCAAGCAACCACCTCTTATCTCCTGATAAGACAGACTGAACTGTAGGCATTTGCATATGCTCAGTTTGGTTTGTATTGCTAGAGAGGTGTTTTTTTTTTTTTTTTGTGAATAGCACAGGGCCATTCAGGACTGGTTAGACAGAGGTCAGGGGTTTTGCATCCTCCTAGAGCGGGAAGAAAACTCCTTCTGCAAGTTTTAGCTAGTTCTTGGCTGGACACTGATAGAAGTCACAATACGGCTGTAACTGCTGATGAAAAGGTATTTAGCAGTTTGTATTTACTAAAATAATTGCATTTCCATGTTGTGTGTACTGTGGGAGGCCAGATATAGTGAATGCAGGGTCCGGGGAGACCAGATATAGTGTGAATGCAGGGTCCGGGGAGGCCAGATATAGTGAATGCAGGGTCCGGGGAGGCCAGATATAGTGAATGCAGGGTCCGGGGAGGCCAGATATAGTGAATGCAGGGTCCTGGGAGGCCAGATATAGTGAATGCAGGGTCCTGGGAGGCCAGATATAGTGAATGCAGGGGTTCTGGGAGGCCAGATATAGTGAATGCAGGGGCCTGGGAGGGCCAGATATAGTGAATGCAGGGGCCTGGGAGGCCAGATATAGTGAATGCAGGGGCCTGGGAGGCCAGATATAGTGAATGCAGGGGCCTGGGAGGCCAGATATAGTGAATGCAGGGGCCTGGGAGGCCAGATATAGTGAATGCAGGGGCCTGTGGAGGGGCCTGGGAGGCCAGATATAGTGAATGCAGGGGCCTGGGAGGCCAGATATAGTGAATGCAGGGGCCTGGGAGGCCAGATATAGTGAATGCAGGGGCCTGGGAGGCCAGATTAGGATGCAGGGGCCTGGGAGGCCAGATATAGTGAATGCAGGGGCCGGGGAGGCCAGATATAGTGAATGCAGGGGCCGGGGAGGCCAGATATAGTGAATGCAGGGGCCTGGGAGACCAGATATAGTGAATGCAGGAGCCTGGGAGACCAGATATAGTGAATGCAGGGTCCGGGGAGGCCAGATATAGTGAATGCAGGAGCCGGGGAGGCCAGATATAGTGAATGCAGGGGCCTGGGAGGCCAGATATAGTGAATGTGAGCCTGGGAGACCAGATATAGTGAATGCAGGGCCCGGGGAGACCAGATATAGTGAATGCAGGGCCCGGGGAGACCAGATATAGTGAATGCAGGGTCCTGGGTTTAGTTATGCTTTAAAGCTGGTATCCAGGTTTTAGAGAAGTTGAAATAGTTTGCTGGTCCAAATGAGCTAGATTCTTCGGTAACCGATGCAGCGGCTGTGTGCATTGTATAAGCTGTATGTAACCTCCGCTACATACCGAATACAGCAGCGTGTTCCTGCAATAGGACACCAACCTCTGCACAAAATTGAATTTGGCTGAGCACTGCTCAGCCATTCACAGGGAGCTTTATATTCTACGAATGAATACAAACCTTCCTCTGGTTGGCTGAGTTGGGGATCATGATGTCATCGACCCGCTTCAGCCAATCAGAAAGCTTTTGTATTCATTCACAGCATCCAAAGCTCCCTGTAAATTGCTAATCAGCCATCTTGAATTTGTTCCGGCAGTGGGACAGAAAGTTCCCCTCCCACAGTCAGAATACAGGATTGTATTCTGTGTGTAGCTGATGCTACGTTCAGTTCATACAGCAAACACTGCTTTGTCCAAACAAACTTTTTAAACTTTAAAACCTGGTGATCAGTTTTAAAGATATAAAAGACACACTAATGCAGCTCTGTCATGATTAATACATTAAATATATACTGTATTTTTAAATGCAAGTCGTGTAACAACCCAAATTGATTTGGTATTTGAACTGCCTCTTGCAGTTTTGTACAGCAGGACTAGAGTGTGAGAGGAAGAAGCAGCACAAGAAGCCTGTTGGTTCACGTGCTGACAAGAGTAATTCGTAGAAACAGGGAGATGAGCTCATCACTGCACAGTTGCAGGCAGGGGGTAGGTCCGGAACAACCCGGGCTCAGAAAAAGTAGCTTTAATGATTCTTGCTAGCAGACTGGGGACCTCTAGTGGAAGAAAAATAGTACTGCAGGGAACTAAAAGTTGGTGTGCTGTGATAAGGTGTTAGTGTGTGTTCTCTATGTGATCATTTAGTGATGTGATTGTAAAGCTCTCCTCTGTGTCTTTGGCTTATCTCTGTACAGACGGCTGAGGTAGCCATGTCAAACCTGAAGAGTAAATATGAGAATGAGAAGGCCCTAATTTCCGATACTATGGTGAAGATGCGACATGAGTTAAAAGCCCTGAAGGAGGACGCGGCGACATTTTCATCAATGCGCTCTGTATTTGCGAGCAGGTACTGTATGAATCTGGAAACATTAATACCCAAAGTAGTGAAAAGGGCCAGTGGGTGTAGGAACATGTATATCTGTGGGAGCAACTGCTACTGGGCGGGCCTATGACACTGAGTGGGGGGACATAACTGACCTGGATGGGGTAAGGCTGGTTTCTCTTCCTTGAAGCTTCTGCCTGGAAATGTGATATATTTTTTGAGGAATTTGTACTGAGGTATTGCTGGCCTTGAGAAGTTTAGCTGCACCCCTTTAAATAAACCTTGTGCTAAAAGAGATCCTTTTTTTAGGCTGTCATGGCTGACCTGAAAACAATGTTGTAAAGAAAATATATACTTACTTTGGTTCTGGATTCAAGTTGTTTTGCTAGGTGCAAATGACATCACTGTTCCTTACCATGGCTTCCTGGGATACCTGGCGGCTTCAAACCCCACAACAATGCACATGGGTCCATTTGGGTTCCTTGTACAGGGGGGCATCTAGCTGCTGTCCGCCCCTCTTGACATTTGTGTGCCTGGGAGGTGCAAGTTACCAGGCCCACTGCTTGCAGCCTTTTCGAAGTCTGGGGCAGGCTGTGGCTGGACGGAGCTGAATGCTGTACTGGGTGGTACTCCTGTGTAGGGCCATATGCATTCAGGGACATAGTTGGGATGCAGGAATTTTGCATTTCTGTTATTCTTCCCTAAACACATAGGGTCCTAACCATGAGTGCCACACAACACGGGTGTGCTCTATCCAGCCACAGCTTACCATAGACCTTGACAGACTGTCTACAGCAGGGCTCAACAGTGCGCCTGTCCCTCCCGGGTGCACTAAAACAGCTGGAGGGATGCACAGTTCATGTACAAGGAGACTAAAGGGGCACAGTCACTCACAATCTTGAGTACTCCACTTAGTCAGCAGTGGGGCACAGTGGCATCACCTGCACCTCCCAGAAACTTTGGAAGCCAGAGTCGAGGCAAGTGTTTTACATTTATTTGTATGTGTGTATATATCTATATCTATCTATAGAGAGAGAGAGCGAGAGAGATGAAGTGTTTCGTATATGAAAGCATGTAAATTTTGGTGGTGTAGGTAGAAGAGCAATGCTGAAGTGTGTGACTGCAAAACGGGTGTAGAAAGGAGAGGAGTGCAGTGTATGAAAGCAGGCAGCACATTTGGAGAGTATGACGGTGGGCAGTTTGTGCAGGAGAGGAGTGCAGAGGATACGACGGCAGGTGGTATGTGCAGGAGAGGAGTGCAGAGGATACGACGGCAGGTGGTGTGTGCAGGAGAGGAGTGCAGAGGATACGACGGCAGGTGGTATGTGCAGGAGAGGAGTGCAGAGGATACGACGGCAGGTGGTGTGTGCAGGAGAGGAGTGCAGAGGATACGGCGACAGGTGGTATGTGCAACAGAATAGTGCAGAAGATACGACGTCAGGTGGTATGTGCAGGAGAAGAGTGCAGAAGATACGACGGCAGGTGGTATGTGCAGGAGAGGAGTGCAGAAGATACGACGTCAGGTGGTATGTGCAGGAGAAGAGTGCAGAGGATACGACGGCAGGTGGTGTGTGCAGGAGAAGAGTGCAGAAGATACGACGGCAGGTGGTATGTGCATGAGAGGAGTGCAGAGGATACGACGGCAGGTGGTATGTGCAGGAGAGGAGTGCAGAGGATACGTGCAGGTGGTGTGTGCAGGAGAAGAGTGCAGAGGATACGGCGACAGGTGGTATGTGCAACAGAATAGTGCAGAAGATACGACGTCAGGTGGTATGTGCAGGAGAGGAGTGCAGAAGATACGACGGCAGGTGGTATGTGCAGGAGAGGAGCGCAGAAGATACGACGGCAGGTGGTATGTGCAGGAGAGGAGCGCAGAAGATACGACGTCAGGTGGTATGTGCAGGAGAGGAGTGCAGGGACTTGGACAGTGTGTGGAGGATGTGACAGTGGGCAGTATGTGCAGGAGAGGAGTGATGACAGTGTGACAGTGGGTAGTGTGTGTAGAGAACGTTTTTATGGCAGATTCAGCATGTGTGGGAGAAGAGTGCTGAGGAGTATGGCAGCAGGCTGTATGTGTAGTATTGACATAGTTTGCTGTCAGTGAATGTTTGGATAGGAGGGAGGGAGGCCAGAAAGAGTAGACAATGTGCGATGAACTTCTTTCTCTGCTTTAGTGAATCTGTCAGTTTAACATTGGAAAAGTCTGGCTATAATCATACAGTATCATATGGAACATGCTGTTATCTTTGTTAATCCCAACAACGTATAATCAGACACGATATGGTAAAGTGGGTCAGAGAAACTAAGAAGCCCTCCACTGAACTCATTTTGTTATCCAGAAATCAGCTGCTCTGGTCTTATTTTCCCATTCTAGCTAACAGACTTCTCCAACTTCAGCACTTTTCAGAGATTTTCCTTGCCCTCCAACGATCCCTGTCTGGTGAGAGCACCTCCGTGGGCAATAAGGGGCTTACATTAAACACTGATTCAGTATGGTTCCTGCTGTTAGACAAAAATGGCTGACCCATACATACAGGCCCTCAGGAGAATCGGTGACAAATAGGAAGAAATGTATGGAGCCAAAATGATCGTACTGAAAAGGTTTGAGGGTGACTTTCTATGTTCAATTGACATACAGAACAGTTCATCTGAATCTTTACATTGACTTTCCAGGTGTGATCAATATGTGAATCAGCTGGAGGATATGCAACGCCAGATTGTTGCAGCAGAGGATGAGAAAAAGACATTGAACACACTGCTGCGAATGGCGATCCAGCAAAAGTTAGCTCTAACACAGCGTTTGGAAAGCCGAGATAGCGTTCAAGAAGTCTCCAAAACTAGCAGGACAAAATCTGCTACAAAGTCTAAAACTCGGGCTTCCAAATCCAAAAGTTAATAGGTAAGTGAGTGCTTTTTTTTTTTCTCTGTGAATGGTTGAATTCAGTTTTATGACCGTATATCAAATTAAACGTGCTGAATTAGAAAACAGAAGTAAGGGGGAGAACACAACTCTCAGGTTTAAAGTGGAACCCCAGGAAATGAAGTTTTTAGAGGATAGAGTTGGGCAGTTTAGTTACTATTGCTAATGCAGGCCATAGATGGGTCGAAAAATCGGCCGATTTTTCGGCCGAAAATAAAATCGGCCAATTTTCGGATCGTTAGTGGGCGATTTGGTCGGGCCGTTTTTTTCGGTATTTTGGCCGTTTTTTTTTTTTAAATCGGGAAAGTTGGAAAAAAATCGGCCGATTTTCGCGGCAATAATGGGCTAATCGGCCGATTTTTTTTTTTACCAAAAAAAAAATCTGCGCATGAGCAGTGACCTGCAAGAGGAAGAAAAAAAAGAAGAAGAAAAAGAAGAGGATGAAGATGATGAGGAAGAAGAAGAAGAGGATGAAGATGATGAGAAGAAAGAGGATGATGAGAAGAAGAAGAAGAAGATGATGACGATGAAAAGGAAGAAGTAGAAGAAGAGGAGGATGATGATGAAGAAGGGGAAGAAGAGAGGATGAAGAAGAGGATGAAGAGATGATGAAGAGGAAGTAGAAGAAGAGGATGATGATAAGGAAGAAGTAGAAGATGAGGAGGAGGAGGAGGATGATGATGAAGAAGGGGAAGAAGTAGAAGAAAAGGATGAAGATGATGAAGAGGAAGAAGTAGTAGAAGAGGATGATGATGAGGAAGTAGAAGAAGGGGATGAAATGATGATGAAGAGGAAGAAGTAGAAGAGGATGATGATGACCAAGAAGAAGAAGAGGATGATGATGAAGAAGAAGAGGATGATGATGAAGCAGGAGAAGGATGAAAAATTAGAGGAATTCCAGTACGGCAAAAAGTGTCCCTGCAGAGAGCTCCGCTATTTCTTTGACAGTTCTCTGACAGTTCCTTGACATTTACAGCGGTTGTAACATTGTATCTATTTGTTTCCGAATAAAAACATCTGTATCCTAAATGGATGCAAATAGATACATTGTTGCAACCGCTGTAAATGTCAAGGAACTGTCAGAGAACTGTCAAAGAAATAGCGGAGCTCTCTGCAGGGACACTTTTTGCCAGCTGTAGACAGGATGAAAATCGGCGATTTTTTTTTGATTTTTTTTTTTTTTACCATTGATGGTAATGTTGGCCGCTTGAATGACCGATTTTTGGTTTTTTTAAAGAAAAATCTGCCGTTTTTCTCCCCATCTATGGCCTGCATAAGAGTAATAACTGGCATCCAGTGTCTGGAGGGATGCTGAAATCCTCTGTTGTATTTCTTGCCAGATACAGGAGTTGACTTACTAAAGCTGGAGAGTACAGAATCTGGTGCAGCTGCGCATGGTAGCCAATCAGCTTCTAACTTCAGCTTGTTCAATTAACCCACATGGAAGAAAAACACATTTGAAATCTATTTTAAAAATATTCTTCCCATATATATTGACGTATATTTGAAATACTACAATTTTGGCCATATTCAATATATATATATCATGTTGAAATGCGTTTTTATTTTTTATATATATTACAAAATATATGAAAAATATTTTAAAATGTTTAGATATTTTCTTCAGATTTTTTTTTAACATCTAAAAAAGTAATTAACATGTATTTTTACATAGATTTGTAAATGCATTCCAAAAATGTAGATTTGTATTTTTAAAGACATTAGATTTGAAATGTATTTTTTTTTTTTAAATAGTTTTTATATAGTTTTTTTATATATTTTGTAATAAACTCATTTGAAAAATATAAATTTGGTCAAAATGGTAGTATTTAAAATATATATCAATATATTTGGGAAGAATATTTTTTATAATATATTTCTAATATATTTTTCTTCCATATGGGAAGCTTTGGCAAATAAACCTGGAAGCTGATTGGTTTCTATGCAGAGTTGCACCAGAGTTTGCACACTCCAGTTTTAGTAAATCAACCCCAGTGTCAGAAATTTTCAGAAGCTTACAGCCAACTTTTGTCTCTGTGGGTATTACAATAAATCCTCATAGTATAATAAGGACTAGCACTTAATTTTAGAGAGGTAAAAGCTGGCTGCAGGCCTTAGTAGTGCAGTGTACCAACACTTACATCCAAAAGTTTGGGGGTTAAACTGTTAAGACCCCATTCACACTTGCGATTGAAGCCATTCGATGAGGGAGAAACTGGTGGGGGTTCCCAGCTATTAGCTACAGGTGGATGCCTCATTGAAAGCAATGGGAGTTTGACAACTCCCGCAGCTAATCACAGCTGCTCACATGTAATCGCTCAAGCAATGATTACTTGCAAATGATTGGGCCTAATGCAGGCCATAGATGGGGAGAAAAACGGCAGATTTTTCTTTTAAAAAACGAAAATTCGGTCGTTCAAGTGGCCGACGTTACCATCAATGGTAAAAAAAAATCGGCCGATTTTCATCCCTTCTACAGCCGGCAAAAAGTGTCCCTGCAGAGAGCTCCGCTATTTCTGACAGTTCTTGACAGTTCCTTGACATTTACAGCGGTTGAAACATTGTATCTATTTGTTTCCATTTAGGATACAGATGTTTTTATTCGGAAACAAATAGATACAATGTTTCAACCGCTGTAAATGTCAAGGAACTGTCAGAGAACTGTCAGAAATAGCGGAGCTCTCTGCAGAGACACTTTTTGCGATGAGGACTGGAATTCTTTCTTATTTTCATCCTACTTCTTCTTCTTCTTCCTCATCCTCTTCTTCTTCTTCATCCTCTTCTTCTTCTTCATCCTCATCCTCTTCTTCTTCATCCTCATCCTCTTCTTCTTCTTCATCCTCATCCTCTTCTTCTTCTTCATCCTCATCCTCTTCTTCATCCTCTTCTTCTTCATCCTCATCCTCTTCTTCATCCTCTTCTTCTTCATCATCATCCTCATCCTCCTCCTTCTTCTTCTTCCTCCTTCTTCTTCTTCTTCATCCTCCTTCTTCTTCTTCTTCATCCTCCCTTCTTCTTCTTCTTCTTCTTCTTCTTCTTCTCTCATCCTCCTTCTTCTTCTTCTTCATCATCCTCCTCCTCTTCTTCATCTCATCCTCTTCTTCATCCTCCATCCTCTTCTTCATCCTCATCCTCTTCTTCATCCTCCTCCTCCTCTTCTTCATCCTCATCCTCCTCTTCTTCATCCTCATCCTCCTCTTCTTCATCCTCTTCTTCTTCTTCTTCTTCATCCTCTTCTTCTTCTTCATCCTCTTCTTCTTCCTTCTTCTTCTTCTCTTCATCCTCATCCTCTCTCTTCTTCTTCTCATCCTCTTCTTCTTCTTCTTCCTCATCCTCTTCTTCTTCTTCTTTCTTCTTCTTCATCCTCATCTTCTTCATCCTCATCCTCTCCTCTTCATCATCCTCATCCTCTTCTTCTTCTTCTCCTCTTCCTCTCATCCTCATCCTCTTCTTCATCCTCTTCTATCCTCTTCTTCCTCTTCATCCTCCTCTTCCTCTTCATCCTCTTTCTCATCCTCTTCATTCTCCTTCATCTTCTTCATCCTCTTCTCCTTCATCCTCTTCATCCTCTTCTTCTTCTCTTCATCCTCATTTTCTTCTTCTCATCCTCTTCTTCTTTCCTCCTTCCTCTTTCCTCTTCATCCTCTTCTTCTCTTCCTCTTCCTCTTTCTTCTTCATCCTCTTCATTCTCTTCTTCTTCATCCTCTTCATTCTTCATCCTCTTCTTCTTCTTCTTCCTCTCCCTCTTCATCCTCTCCTCTTCTTCATCCTCTTATTCTTTTTCTTCTTCTTCCTCTTCTCCCTCCTCCTCTTCCTCTTCTTCTTCATCCTCCTTCCTCTTCTCCTCTTCTTCTTCATCCTCTTCTTCTTCATCCTCTTCTTTCTTCATTCTTCCTCCTCTTCATCCTCTTCTTCCTCTTTCATCTATCTTCTATCCTCTTCATCCTCTTCATCCTCTTCTTCTCTTCATCCTCTTCTTCTCTTCTCCTCTTCTTCTTCTTCATCCTCTTCTTCTTCTTCATCCTCTTCTTCTTCTTCATCCTCTTCTTTTTGTCTTCCTCTTGCAGGTCACTGCTCATGCGCAGATTTTTTATCGGTAAAAAATCGGCCGATTTGCCCACTAATTGCCGCGAAAATCGGCCGATCGGCAAAATCGGCCGATTTTTTTCCAACTTTACGAAAAAAAAAAAAACGGCCAAAATACCGAAAAAACGGCCGACCAAATCGCCCACTAACGATCCGAAAATTGGCCGATTTTATTTTCGGCCGAAAAATCGGCCGATTTTCGACCCATCTATGGCCTGCATAAGGGCTCGTTCACACTTGACTGTTTTACCAACGCTTGCCAAACGCCCCTATAGCGTTTGGCAAGCGTTGGTCCGGCGCTTGCGGAGCGTTTTTTTTAATGCTCGGCAAACGCTTCGCAAACGCTACATGCGTGGTTTAGCAGAAGTTGCTAGGTGTTTGCCAAGCGTTAAAAACGCCCCACAAACGCCTATATTGAAGTTTGAATGGTGTTACCGCTCCGCAAACGCCGGCTGGGCGTTTGAGGAGCGGCATCATAGACTAGAATAGGAGGCTTCAACGCCTCCTGACTCGACCAGAGGCTTCCGTTTTGCCACAACGCTAACACTCCCGTTAGAACAGCACAGCATGTGCTGTAATGTGCAGAATTGTCAGAGGCGTTTGGGAAGCGGTAAAAAAAAACGCTTCCCAAACGCCTCTCTGCCGCCTGCACACATTGCTAGTGTGAACGTAGGCTAAAGGTGGGAAGGTTAGAAAATCGACTGATCGGTCGTCCGATGACTGAGAGGTTTTCGTTCGTTGGTCAAAATCGTGGCCCACAATAACAAATCTAAAAAAATTGTTCGGGCAATACGTAGTGTTATCTTCCGTACAAGTGGAAGTGATGCGGTGTGCGTGTGACCTTGTAGCCACGGCCTTCTGGCCAGAACGAGCGATATACACCACAATTC